GGAGGGAAGTAGTGGGAGGCTTTTAAGTTAGCTCCCTGCGCGTGCTAGCTCCTGTTGAGCCACCTGCCCTCCTCCCCTGCTGCTGCCTACCACAGAGGCAGCAGCATGAGGGATTGAGGGACAGGCAGGAGCACCAGCTCCCACAGAGCTGCCTGTCCCCCTCTAAGGGGTGGGGTGGAGGGAAGGGAGCTCTTGCTCATGGGGAGCTGGCTTAAAAATTGGCTCCTCGCATTCACCAGCTCCCTCCTCCCCTTCCCCCCCATGTAAACACATGTTAACACCTCTAGTGCATGTAGATACTATTGGATACACATAAGCACTACACTGAGTAAGCAGTTCTATTGAAAAAATGCTTTAAATAGCCATCAAACTAGAGATTAATTATGTGGGGAAATTGGGATAAAATTCCAGTTGTATTCAGAGATTTTGTTTTTCAGCTTTACAACACCAGAAGGACTTGGGCCTCTTTCAAGATGTTCAGACTGGGGATCTGCAGTTGAGGAAGATGAAATGAGGACCACTGTTAATAAAGAAATTGCCAGGTACCATATGCTATGTATGATTGATGTTACAAAAGCAAATCCCTGTTCTTGTAGAATCATAGCTGCTTTTTTACATTCATAATTATAGCAGCACAATAATGAATAATCACTTATGACTATCATATCTAGGGGCAAATTCTGTTATCTGTTCCCAGGCCAGCTTAGATTTACAGAAATACTAGACAAATAATGTTGTATAGTCGTTTGGAAGGACTGCCAGCAGATTCAGGATTGGCTTGCTCTTTGAACTTTATCCCATCCACTCCCTATCTGTTTGCATGGTAATTGCCAGGATAAGACTTGAGCGGGAGTTTTGAAAGACGAATCTTTAGATTACGAAAGAGAGAGGGACTCATTTTCATGATGGAAAAATGTTTACTGTGCACTGTTTGAACTTCTCAGATGATTAAGGTCAAGAAGGGACCAATATTGTAATTGTCTAGTCTGATTTACACATTGCAGATCACAGAACTTCACCTCCCCACTTCATTTTGACTTTAGTTACTGAAGTCCTCAAATTATGATTTAAAGATTTCAACTTATGGAGAATCTACCATTTATGCTACATTAAACCTGCAAAATGACCCAGGACCCATGTTTCAGAGGAAGGTGAAAAAAATGCCGGAATCTCTGCCAATCTGATCTGAGGAAAATTCTTCAGCCTAAGGGCTGAAACTGGCCAATAGGAGCTGAGTGTTTGTACTGGAGCAAGGGCAGTGTGCAAAGTCCCCCCCCTCCCCCAGTGCCTGGGGCAGAGAGCCTCAGGGAGCAGCCAGTTACCTTGGGTGGTCTGGGGCTGCTGGCAGGCAGGGGACAGTCTTGGGGCTGCTGGCTGGGAGCAGCCTAGGTAAGCACCTCCCTGCCAGAGCTTGCCTCGCACTCCTCCCCCTTGCTACACCCCAATTCCTTGCCCCAGGATACCACCCAAACCCTCTGCATCTCCCCCTCCAAGACCCTGCATCCCCTCTTACACTCCTCCCTCAGACCAGAATCCTCTCCTGCTTCCATACCTCCTCCTAGAGCCGACACCCTCTCCTGCACCCTAGTTCCCTACCCGGAGCTCCCTTCTGTACCTAACCCCCATCCCAGACCTTGCACTCTCTCCATAGGAAAGTGGGCCTTTGACCACTTACCACTTATTTGACATTTTAAACATATTTATATTGAATAAATTGTCTTCTGTAGATACAAAAGAAAGCTCTTGATAAATGAATTTGCAAGAGAAAGAAAGTCCTCTTCTGGAAGGTAAGTGTAAATTCATTTCTGGAGGTCAATGAAAAAATATCCTGCAATAGTTGTTTTTAAACTCCTTGCATGCCCATGATTTCCTTGTTGTAAATAATCAATTTGAAGTAATTTGTTTTCATAAGATCACTTTGTAACATGCTAATTCCACAAAATCTCAAGCATCCATTTTCAGAAACAAACCTAATTAGTACAGCAGGTGTAAGGATTTCTGTTGCGGGGGTGGCTTGTGTGTTCTGGTACTCACAAGAACTTAATGCAGTTTAACTCAAATCTAAATGTTTTTTCTTTAGTTCTGATTCAAAGGAATCCACTGTATCAGTAGAACTTGAGACAGATGAAGTGGTTCTGATGAGACGGCAAAAACAGATAAATTATGGAAAAAACACAATTGCGTATGACAGATACATTAAAGAAGTTCCAAGGTAAGTTTATTGTAAATTCAAAGAACCAGACATGTATAATACAATCATGTATTTGGTTACTTATTAAGCGTATTTATAGACCAAACTTTCTGGGGAGGAAGTGGGAGAAACCTGAGCTGCACAAGAGTCAAACAGCTTAACTGTCTTGAATACTTGCATGGGTTTAAAACCAACCCAAAATACTCTGAGAATAGGATTTAATAGGCTTCCAGTGTTAGACAAATTCAGTCACTTGAAAGATTATTTGAAAAGCTATAGTGGAATTTTCATGACATTTTTCTGAATATATAGGTGTCATCGGGTCCCAGGGGTCCATCCTAGGACTCCGAATAAATTTAAGAAGTATAGCCGTAGATCCTGGGACCAGCAAATCAGACTGTGGAAGGTTGCTTTGCATTCTTGAGAGTGATTTGCAAATAATGTATGTATTGATCCCACAATTTTTGTTCTAATATATTACAGTTTTTTCAGAAAATGACTATGGATCAACTGACATCTATGTAATGTTTTAGTATATTCATCTTCAGCTTTTTCAAAGTGATTAAAGCAGTATTAAATGTTCACGCCATATAAACACGTTTCCATTTTTAGCTAAGTTCCAATTCAGATCACCTTCAATCAGAATGCTTAAGGCTCACCTGGCTCTCCATATTTAGTGAGTCTGTGGCTTCCATGTGCGTTGTTTCCAAGGGTAACTTCTGTCTCATGTCCTTCTGGCTTCCTTTTGCTAAATTTGAGAGCTATGGCTTAGTAATAAACCCAAGAAGCTACTATTAAGGGCTTGAAGGCTCAGCCTATCAGAACCTAAAGCACATTCTAGTCAATAGATTAAACAAGCCCCGCTGTCACTATTATTTTATATACAACTTGGCAGAAGCTTCTAGATCTCATGTTCAGAATGGAATTATCAGGAGGCTTTTACTATGTTAACCAATTGTAATTGATAGGGCAGTCAGTTGCAGTTGATTCACATAGTTAACTCAAATTAATTGCAGATTTAATCACAGTTAATAAAATACTAATTTGTATATGTTTTTCTACATTTTCAAATATATTGATTTTAATTACAGCACAATACAAAGTGCGCAATGCTCACAATATTTTTTTATTGCAAATATATACACTAAATGATAAAAGAAATAGTATTTCAGTTTTCTTCAAGTACTGTAGCGCAATTGTTTTATCATCAAAGTACCATTTACAGATGTAGACTTTTGCTATGTAACTGCACTCAAAAACAAAACAATATAAAACTGTAGAGCCTACAGGTCTCCATGATGTACCAAATTCTGTGACTTTACAGAGTTGCGGAAACAGTGATGATGTCCCTTGTCTCTGCAGATTTTGCTTCTTGTTTTGCTTTTGTTTTTTGGCAGGAACAGCTTACTTGCCCTTAAAATGGAAGGAGAAATTATCTGATACTAGCAGTGGTGAGGAGATAATTTTCTGAAACCGACAAAATGAACATAGGCCCAGTGTGATCTAAACTTAAGCAGAAATACATCTTCACAAAGAATCAATGTGTGTCATTCCTACTCGCATTTGTAAAGTGATTTTAGTGCAGGGGATTGAGTATAACCATGCTTAAAGTTGAAAACCATTTTTTTTGGCTCCGCCGTGTTGATGCTCTTTTCATACATTGCAGGAGAAGTAGGAAATGTTTAAAGTTCAGTTCCAATCAAGCACATACTAAGTTCCTAAAACAGTGTGTTTCAGCACCTTTATCCTATGGCACAAAATTCAGCTAGACTCTTTCAATTACAGTGAAGTCCACTTGGCTCTCTTCCCACTAAATTTGCCTTCCATAATGCTAGGTTCAAGTATCAGTATTGCTATCTTTGACAATTGCATTGCTATTCAGTCTCAGGAATTTAACTTAGTGCTTACCACTTATTTGGTTCTTTCCTAATAGCATGATTATCACCTCAGTTGGCCCCAGCAACTCCTCACCATAGTTCTTACTGTCCACTTGCTAGTGCCTTTTTGCTCTGAATGGTTCCCCTTGTGCTATTCTTGACACCACCTAGGCTATAAATGACATTTTTCTTTTTTTTCTGTTTACTTCAGTCCTAGCCAGAGGACTTTGAAAGCAATACTTAAATGGTGAATAGATTCCTGTTCATTGGAATCTGTTGACATTGGCAGTGAGAGTCAATATTCCAAACAATTATATATCTCACTGTTTCAGTGATTTCAGATGTAACTTTGCGGGTAGAGTTTTAACCATGCAAATAGAAGAATAAAACAGCTTAACCCAAATATTTAGAAACTGCAGTTTCCATCGTTAGTACTGTTTGCTTGCTCTGTGCAGGTTGAGGTAATTAGCAAATAATACAGGAAATTGTCTTCAATCCAAACATCTGACACAATAATTGTTGACTGATAAAACCTGACGCAGTATGACAAAATATAAATAAAAGCCAAGGGACTCGTTATGGGTTCCCAAAGCAATTAATAGTCTCCCAAATTTGCATGTAAGTAACTTGCTCAGGATCTCATAGAAAGCCTTTGAGATAGGATTTGAACTGAGTTGTACCGTGCCATTGCCTGCCTTAATTAGAGTCCTTCTTTTCCCTTCCTGCAGTCCTCTGCCTTGTTCTCTGTAGATGTTCCTACTTCTCTAGAGAATGAGGGAGGGAACTTACAAATGGCTTTATTCACTACACAACCATGATTAATTCCCTCAGCACCATCCTGTGCGCTGTAGGATGCTGAATCTTGTGGAAGAAATAGTATGTGATCATGTAACTAAAGATTGTAATACAATGTAGGGATGTTAAATTTTGATTAATCAGCTAATCGAGTAGTCAATGGAAATCCTATCAACTGCTTGATTAGCTGATAAGGGGTGGGGTCTCTATCCTGGCTGTGCCTCTGCCTTTCAAATGTAGTAAGAGCCCCCTGTTGCACTTACCACATTTTAAAAGGCAGAAGCGCAGTAGTCGGAACACAGGGCAAGCGGGTATTGAAGTAGTTCCCCGCTCACCCTGTGTTCTCTGCTGCATTTCTGCCTTTAAAATGGCAGAAACCTTTGAAAAGCAGAGGTGCAGCAGTTGGGACCCAGAGCGAGTGGGGACTGCTTCAGTCTTAGCTTTTTTCAAAACTGATATTTCTGAGCTCAGGAAACACCTGACATTTCTGGAGAGACCATATTTCAGAAATGCGAACCATGGCTTCAGGAAAATCCCAGTGCTCTTTTTTTACTTACTTACTTTTATTTTCAGCTCAAATTATAGATTTTATAGCATGCCTTCATTATGTGGTAGGTATCCAGAATGTTGCCTGAAGATTAGAACCTCTCCAATCTGGCAGG